TCTTTCCCTTTCCGTCACACAATCCTTTCCTCTTCCTCTTCTTCCCACTCCTTCAATTTACCATTTTATAACATCTCTGGGGCTAATTCTGCAATTGTTTACATGGCATAGGACCGTTACGAAAGCATTTAACACATTCTGAGGTGATTTAGGAGGTGGAAATAGCCATGTGAACAGCAGGCTCTCAGCAGATCCATAAGTAGCTTGTGGGTCACAACTTGAAAACCTTTTGATGCAAGCACAGCCCAGGCCACTTAGCAACAAGAGCTCCTAGAGCGTCTCCTCATTCAAGTGACCGAGGCTTTTGCAAGGAACAGGAGAACACGAGTTTTCTTTCTGCTGTTTTTTGGCAGTTCTAGGGAGGCGTGACTGGCTGCTTAAAGATATTTTCCGTATTGCTTATCTTTTCTTTCCTTTTGAGTGCCACATGGTCTATCATTTCCCTCAGCTCAGATATAGGCCCCAAGGGGACTTAGTCCATAAGTAAAACACAGAACTAAGCAATAGTGATTACAAACCAAAATGTTTTAGGCATACTGCTGTTGTTAGTGACACTGGTTTCAAATGCTTTCCCCTCCCCCTCTCTGTCTCCCCTCTCTTAGCGGCTTGTTATGAGCTCCATGATGCCACTTGTCGTCCAGATGAGCTACGCCAACACAGGATGGATGGAAGGGTCCCACTGCAAATCATATCACTAAAAGCGTTTTGCAAAGCCTACCCCAGCTATAGCCAAAAAATTCCCTTTTCCTGTGTTGATATCAACATCTTAAATTCTTCATTCCATACATTTCCAAGTCCTGTCAGCGGATGGACGGTAGCTCGTCTCATTTCCTGTTTTCACTTTCTATTTCTCAGGTGCTAGCACAACTAGAAAGTCTGAATCATTTTTAATTTCACCCCCTTCCAAAAAGGTTTTCATTGATTTTTCCTCCCCCCCACTGTAGTCAACTCTTTATTTTTTCAGCCTGTTTTTCCACATGACTATTGCTTATGCAGCCACACTGGCTTTCAGTCTGGCTGCAAGTCCCCTTCCAATAGCTTTTGAACCTTTTTGAAGAATTTCACTGAAATTTGATGGAAGGGCAGTAGTCTCAGAAACGATCATGTTCCTACAAGTTCTGTTAATAGATGGCATGCCAGAGGAGCGAGAACTATTCATGCCCCCAGTGAGCAGACATTATTGTTTCTCTTGGCAGCTGGTACTCACCGGCCAACCCGCATCTACTGCTTCTTGCTTTGCAGGGCTGTCGTCCGTGGTGTGGGGAGGAGACGAAATTAATGCAGCGGGGACGGAGGTGGACTGAGGGATACAGGGAGCAAGTTTGTTGGAAATCAGGCCTTGCTGCTTCCAGCTCTCTCCACAGGAATTGTTTTGTGGCTAAATTAAATCTATATTGTTTTATTTCAAACATGTCGAAAGCTTGACTTCAGCTTCAAATGGCATTATTTTGGTGGAGGTAAAGCCAGTACCTTAATGTTATTTTAACAAAGCCTTATGAAATGCACATACATTTCCAGTCAGCCGGTTTCTTCCTTTTTGCTGAATACTGAACATTCTTTTCTTCCCCTCACTGTTGTCTTTGGCTGTAGAAATTGTACTTTCCACTTTCACAAAAACTGTAGGGGCATTATGAATGCCTGTATTTTTCTTGAGCAGACTTTTTGCTTTCTAACAAAACGGTTACACTAATTCACCTCACGCAAGTTCAGCGTTAAGTATATGATTGTAAAGCACAAGGTGCTTATCTACTTTGCCCATGTAGATGCAACAGAAAATTAAATTCTCCTTTGTATTTTCTAATAGAGTGCCATGGTGAATGGTTGAAAAGATGTCATGTTCTTCTTCAGTCAGCTGCATGTCAATGTGATAGACAAAACTATTTCCCTACAAACAGTACAAAATTGCTTTGGGGTCCTTAAGGAATACAGGAACACAATTACTGGTTATTATGTGTCTTAGCAAATTGTTTTCTCCACAGTTATAAGTAAAATATCTTAACTGGAAGTTTGCATAGCCAGGTGTTGGCGTTGTAAGAAGGAGAGCTGTCTAGTGTTTCACATTTTCTAATCAAATAACGAACTTTGATTACTATCTCCTGACAGCACTCTCAGCAAGAAGAAAGTATCATTATTCCCGCTACACTGATAGGGAGAGTGAAGTGATTTGTCCAGGGTCACCCTGGAAGCGGCAGAGAGTGGACTGCAGTAAGATTCTGGCCCACATTTTGGTGCTCAGAGATACATGCTAGAGTGCCAAAGCTCCTTAGTTAGCTACAAAATCTTCTTCAAGATTTTACTAACCCATTTTATCATGAATTTCTTCCATACAGAGAGCTTCAACCTGAGAGACAATTAGTCATATGTATTTTTGCCCATTATCAGTTTATCTAACTAATGAAAAGAGCCGTGACTTCCCTGCCTTACAAATACCAAAAGCCACACATAGGTATGACTGCAGTTTCACCTCTCTCACCTTCCTAGACAGCAGCAGTATGATAATTTGGGGACAGCTTTCCATTTAGCATTCCAGGGTTGTACCAGGAGGCCTATTGCAGATGCCACCACTGCAGATGCCCTGTTTCTATTCAAACTTTTGAGGCTGCCCTGGAGCCTGGCCACGAATCAATGGCTGACAGCCCAAGACACATGCTCCCCTCGGAGCCATTCTGCCTATGTTATTTCTTTCATCCTAAGGTCTTGCACTTAACTACTTAAAATTCTGCAGTTTGCCTTCCTCTTGTCCTTATTTTCCGGAGGCACCAGTGAGGATTTATTTCACCTAGCTTAAACTATCTGGTCAGTGAGAGTGCTACCAAAGTCAGCCATTTCAGTTCCCCATGTGCTGACCTGTCTTAGACATCCATTTTCGTTTTGGAGCTGCCTAGAGAGGGGAACCTTCATTACTAAGTCTGACTAAATGCCTGTTTCATAGTTAGCACAAGTCAGGTGAGCTGAATCACCCAACAGCCTCCTGACACAAGAGACAGTGCAATCTAATAGGGAGTTGTCTTCATCTCTTCAACTAAGCAATTTTGAAGGATTTGGGATGCTATTAGTACTTTTACTTAAGACCTTGTCCAGACCAGTTTTGAGATTGCACAAGGTCTTTGGGAAGCCCGTTCCAGTGCTTGACCATCCTCATTTTGAAGAATTCCTTCTTAATATCTAATTGGGATTTCTCTTGCTGCAACATGGGACCAATGCCTCTCATCTGTTTGCTGTGCACCTCTGAGAAGAGTCTGGCTCCACTTTCTCAATAACGTTCCACCAGTGGAAGACAACAGCTAAGTCCCCTCTTAGCCCCTACTTCTCCAGACTGAATGAACAAACAAGATCCCTCAAAAAGGGACGCCAATGGAATTTCCAACATTTTTATGACTTTTAGGATGAGATTCCCAGAAGGGTCATTCCCTGATTTTTTTATTTCAAGAATTGACCAAATTGATGAATGATTCTCAGCTCCGCAAAGGTACCTATTAAGGCAATGAATTCTCACTGAATGATGGTAGGCACTTCAGAAGAGCCAATGTTGTCCTCAAAACTAGTAGAAAAGGGGGATCCCACCAGGGGAGTGGCTATGGGGCAATATATCCCTAAATGGGTATGGGGATCAGGTTTTGCCCTGGTATTTGTGCCTTGCAGGAGTTTTGCAGAGGGGCATGTTTGCATGTGCACATGAAATTGTTGTGGGGTCAGAAAGCAAGCCTGGGTCACTTTGGTCCTAATCCAACGGCTCTAGTCATCCGGGCATGGGCTCGCTTTGGTTTTATACAAACATAAAACTTTACTTAAAACCTCCTGGAGTTTTCCTTCTTGGATTGGGGCTTTCACCAGATTTGTTTACCGTATAAAAACATACATGTGGAAAGAGTATAAAAAGGTTAACTGTGTCAACAGTGAGCGGCAGTAAAGCACGGTGCAATAAAAGCTGAAAATATTGCCAGTTTCAGAGAAAGTTAAGAGAAACCATCTCCTCACAGCAGTGGAAATCATGCCACAATCATTTTCCACTTCTCTCACACTCGACAGGCTATTTTATGACAAAATCCATGGCTAACAGTAGTAGGGTTTTCCCCTTCATACAGCACTGTTGGGCTGATGAATCATTGTCCCTTTTTAGCTAATAACTAAATTAAGACGAGTGCTTTTTCTTCCCCAGTGCCTGAAGCCATCCTCTCCCACCGGCTGCCCCACGGGAGCGGCAGCATGGCTCCGCGTACCCCAAAAGGCCCAGCTGAAATCTCCTTT